AAATGTCTTCCTTTAGCAAAAAAAGACATTCTCTGATGGGCACAAGGATGGGAAGGAGGCAGCACACTCAAAGAGGAATACTACAAAGTCCACCCACAGCTTAAGGTTTGAGCATCTGAACAACAGTGCTAAACAAATAGAGATAAAGGATTAAGGCTGTAGCTCAGTGGTAGAGCACTTGCCTAGCATACATAAGATCCTGGTTTCAATCTCCACCATCAAAAAAGGAGAAGAAAAAGATAAAAACAAACAAACAAACTAGGATACATAGATAAACTCATTCTTAACAATCCCTTTAAATTACTCATCACATATGGCCTCCTTGGGTAGTATAACCATGAACTTTCTGAATTTTATACATGCCTATATTTACATTTCTGGGCATTCAAACCATTGCATCTCTTAAAATAATCTCAAATCCCTACAGTGGGTAAGGATTAAATGGAAAGTTCTACAATGTTCCTACTTGCCTACTGGACTGACTCCTGTTTTATGGTAAACTCCATAGTTTCAATGCAAGTTGCTAGACTGAGATTCACTTGTTAGAGCAAAGTAGAGATGCATGTGTTCACTGATGGGAGACAGATAGGTGCTAAGGTTTGGAGGAACACTAAATGAACATAAATTGCTACCCCACTGTAGTTCCAATTTAGACATTATTTTGCAAGGAGTGTGGCTTACTCAATCAGGCCCACCTATTCTATTTACTGCAAGAACTTCTCCTTGAACCAGAAGGTTATTAATTTGAGTATCATGTAACAATTTGATACAGGTGATTATCATGAGCTATATAGAAATTATTGATATAAGCTAACTACAAAGATATGTTAAGTAGATTACAAAAATAATACAGATACAGTAATTCCACCAGAGGCTGGTTAGAGTGATGCCGGAGCAGAGAACCACTCAACTGGGTCCCCTCACTGTCCATTGTGAATTCCAGACTCCCATTGTTCTGTTTCTGGGTCAGCACCAATAACATTCAAGATTCTGAAGTTTTGATTTGCCAAAACAAATCTACAGCATCATTTACCAATCAGAATGAGAAACTCTGGTTTAAATCAGATCATAAGGTCTTTAGGTTAGCCTAGAATTTCAACACAGATCCCATTCTTTCCTCCTGCCAGTGCCTAAAACATAGGAGAGTCACTGTATCTCAGGAATGGAAGAATAAACTACCATTTTGAGCACAGACACAAGTACAAATAGATTCCAACAAAGTCAAAATTAATAGGTAAACAGTATTTGGGAGGTAGATAAAAAAATCAAAATGCATGTTAAGTATTAATAGCAAGAAACAACTGTAGTTGGATGACAGAAGAAAATGCTATGATCTTCCCTTTCTGTACTACATAGTACAACTTATACAGCAAATTACTTTTTAAAAAAGAACATTTCAACTCACTTATCCAGAATAAACATTTGCTTTCCAATCATTTTTTAATGCAGCACAAGGGGTAGGTTTAATAAACAATAAAGTACTTTCTGTCAAATATTTTTTTAAATGTTTTAAATCACAAATGTTATTAAAAAGCAAAACTACTTGTTCCACTTATTTTGAAGAAAATTGATGGTATACCCATCAAGAGGAAAATTCATGGCATTTTCATAACAAGAGAAACTTAAACTTTTCACCTTTTAAATTTCAAGACCCTCTTTTATGTACAAAGACATGAATATTTTAATCTAACCGAATATTTTAATCTAACCGAATATTTTCCAAATAATGACATTAAGAACTTTTGGGAGAGGAGCTCTGATAATTAGAATTTTACTTGCAAAGTTTCCTGGTTTCCACTAATAAACTACAACTGGTCTGCGAATTTGTTTGCAGATTTAAAAAAGTACAGATTAAAAAGTGGAGGAGAATCTATTCATTACCCATGATTGCACTAAATGTACCCCTTTCAAGCCTTCAGGAATGCCCTTTGATTTTTAAAGTAAAGTTTAAAAAATAAAGCTTTTAAACTACATAAACTACTCGACAACATACTGCTTGCAGTGTTCCTTTTCTTGCTCTTCATTACTCAAACTTGACAATTTTTAGGAATGATGCACCGACTGCTAGACTTTCATCCATGACCTATAAAGCTGTGTCACTGTTTAACTGTTAGTTTTCAGGCTTATCTTATAACAGGAAAGTCAATTTCTTTCCTTATGAGCTGAGGTATAAAACCACAACCCAATATATTATTTTGATGGGACTGTAATTAGTTATCTCATTATCCCTCACTACTTTCTCAAGTCAATGAAAGACTACCATGATGATTTGGAGTATATATATATTTTTTCTCTTCCATGAGTCCACAGATAATGAAAGTGTTAACTTGGGTCAAAAACAAAATTAGCAAGTGAAATAGTTTTTTTTCATTGAAAATAATGGTATGCCTCCCCCCAACTACCTTTCTGGCCTATTATGAGAATTAAAGAAGCTAACAATTGTGAAAATGATTGGTTAGCCTACAAAGCAGTCAAGAAAATGGACTGTAAGCTCCACAAGGGCAAGACGGTCATCTCATTCATTAACTATGCCAATGGCTTGGAACAGAGCCAGAGGCATGAGGCACTGCATGCATTTGCTTACTGAATGAAAAATATAGTATAATTAACAGTAGCTAACCAAAGTGATGAAGAAAAATTCATACAATGGCGTGAATCCTCTAAATTCGAAATGATGCTATACTTCAATAATACACTTAAAAATAACTGTGTTGAGTAATTTCTGATTCAACATTTCCATTGGTGTACTCAACAAATTAAGGTTGAGAAGAAAAGAAAGTAGTCAATAGGCTAAAACTATTAAAATCACATTATGTGATCCTCTCACAAGTTAGTGTCAAAAGGATCAGAATTGGTTGTGCACTGGTATCGCAGAAGAAGATATTGTTAATATTCTTTTAAAAAATAGCTCTTCTCTTTTATGCTCTCTACAGCACATCAATCACTATTTCATGCTCACCTGATTTCCAGATGATAGCTGAAATTGTTAGCACCCATTATAACTTCATGAATTACACTATCTGAAAGAATTCCTACATTTAGTAAAGCAAGAATCTGTTATTTAAATAAAAGTGGGCAATGCTCAAAAACTACATTCTTTGCTAAATTATAAAAGTAAGTGAACGTAAATATGCTGGTTTTAAGTAGCATATTTGTGGGCACAAATTTACAGGTGTTTTCCTTCTTCGGATATTTTTCTAGTTTCAAAAAATAAATGCATTCTTTACAAAAACACATTTTGAAACAAAGAGCTGTTTGTTCAAATGAAAATTAACCTAGGAGAACATGGACTCTTCATTCAGGATTGAATAAAATATTTGGTAAACTATACCCTTAAGCTGTATTAGAATATTTTGAAGATAAATATAAATTCTTATACTCTCTTAATTTTTCCAGAAATAGTTTTTGTATTAGAAAACTTTAATAAGTATACAAGAATGAATATATTCTTGAAAATAAAAACAATGTAGTTAGCAAACCCTCTCGCCTTTAATTACAACATTTTGAATGAAATCAGTAGGTATATGTAATTATTTTTAGGGTTACTGAACTACCTGCATTTGCTTTACACTTTGTTTAATCTATAAAATTTACAAAGGTTAAAATTAAATAATTTTTCATAGTTAAAAAGCCAATCATAAACAATCTTAAAGTTCTTGAAAAATAATTTTTGTGAACACAATGCCAAGGGATTGATTTGTGCCAATCACCATATTTTCTTGAAAATGTTCTTTTGTGAGACATTATTTACTAATTCCCGTCTAAGTAAACCCTCTTTATACACTCTTAATTTTCCTAATACTTGAAAAAAAAAAAAAAGTGGCCCACACTTCCAAGGCACCTAAACATTTCCAAGGAACATAAACCTTGCCTTAAGTGTATTTCTTCTTCTCCCAAGAGGCAAAGGAACTTCCTAGTATTTCGGTTTTACACTACGTGAATGAGACTGATGTTCATATAATTATATTTGTTCCATTCTGTTAGTGATCATTTCAAGCTGAAAGACCAGGACAGGTTCTAAACATGTTAAATTCTATAAAGCCATTAGCAATAAATTTGATCCGGCAGTTTGCTGGGACAATGGAAACTGCTGAAAAGCGTCTATTAGTCATCCTCAACAAACCCATCGGGATTAAAAGAATGAGTTAGGATCGTGTAAGGACGCAGCCAAAGGAAAAAAAATTAATTCAACTGGATCCGTTTCTGAGTCTCTCAGAGCTTTCCCTTTTGATCATCGCTAATTTCAACAGCCCCTCCATAAACTTTACCTAGTATTTGACCCAACTGTCTGCACCCTTCTTCCCAATCCTACTGGTTAGGCTTTACATGCTAATTAAAATCAACCTAAACTGCCCTTTTTTCGGTAAATTCCTATTTATTGGTAAACGTCCTACTCCAGTTGCCAATTCAGCTGTTTTTCAGCTCAGCACGAAGAAAACTTCGTCCTTGATTTCTTTGCGCCTGAAGTGATGCAAAATGTGAGAGTAGAGAAAGCCAAAACTTTGCGCAACTCTGCATCCAAAGATCTTTGGGTGCGCTCCGGAACGACCCCCCGACCGTAGCCACCGACAGTGGTCACAGCCCCCAAAGCGGACCGCGCGAAGCTCTCCTTGCCAAGAACTTTCCGGAGGGCCGGTGTCCCGCGGCGCCAGGGGCAGAAGCGGGATGAGCTTGGGAAACCCCGTGAAACTGGCCCAGCCAGCCCAGGCATCTGGGGTAGGGGCTGCGCGTTCTGTCCAAAGGGGCCCCAGGGCTTCCCGTTCAGTCCAAAAAGTCAAGGTAGCCCTGCCACCTGTTGAAAGAAGGGACAGGAAAGAAGGTGGCAGGATGGGATGGGGTTCCCTCCTTACCCCCAACGTGGCATCTCCACTGAAGCTTGTCGCGCTCCAGGAAAGTCGAGGGCCGGCGCTCCCTGGGCACCATACGCACTCGGGCGACCCCACATCCCCGGGCGCCATCCTCGGGGCGCGGGCGCGTCTGGGCAGGGAGAGCGGGCTCACCTGGGACTGATGGCTGGAAGGCACAGTCTCGGTCCACCGGAGCCCGGCCCGGCAGCCTCGCACCGTCAGCCGTGGGGCTGAGCATTTGAAAAGCCCACCGTGTGCCATAGGGCGCCCCGGCCGGGCTGAGTTGCTCGGCCGCAGGGCACAGCTTGAGTGGGACAGGGCTGGCGGGCAAGGGCCGGAGCTGCGCGCCCGCGGCGGGGGCAAGGGCGGTCGTGGGGCCTTGGAGCGGAGGTGGTGGCAGCCCATGCGCTGGGGAGCCCCCGCCCCGCAGCAAGTTCTCGATCAGGAAACTCTTGCCCAGGTTGCCAAAGCCGGGCGCCGCTGGGAGGTTGAGAAGCGCCGAGGAAGCCACCACGTCCCAGTACGCGCCGGAGTGGGCCGCCACGGCGCTGGGGAGCATAGCGCGCTCCCGGGGGCCGCTGAGCCCGCCTCTCCCTCGCGCCCAGCACTGGACCTCTAGCCGCCACCTCCCGAAGGCACCGAGGACGCCGCAGAGTGGAACGGTATTACTTGATGGCGTTGGACGACTTTAAGGGATGGGAGGAGGGAGGGAGAATGGGAGGGGAGCTGTGTGTCTGCCGGACCCGCGGCGTAGGCTCTGCCTGGGAGCGCAGGGGGAATCTGCAGATGCGGACCAGGTTTTCTCTAGAAGGACGGAAGGTGTGTCCAACCCATCCATTCATGTCACCCGGCCCACAAAGTGACAGACTCGGCCAACAATAAAGGCAGCCCGAAAGTCCGTGCGGTGGCAAGGGGAGGGGACTCTTTCACAGCAGGAGGTGGGCGTGGAGCGTAGTGAATCCGGTGCATCGCCCCCTCTCAACCTCCGAGTTGTGGCGCTTGTGCTAGAGCCTAGCTTCCCCTGGGCGCCACGCTAATGCCCTGAGGATGGGCGTGAAACTGTGATCCCGTGCGCCTCCGGTCCTGTGACACTAGGCCCTCCTGTGTTGGTTGTCACCTCAGGAATCCATGTCATCAGGAACATGGGTGAAGTTCCTCAGGGGATATCGTCATCAAGCAGAATCGAAAGTGTTACAGACAATTGTGATTATACCATTGAAAAGTTGCCCTTTAAAGAATTCATTGTTATTTGAGCAACCTGGAGAACTCACAGGGAAGTACTTTTCTATTATGCCTGCTTTGAAATTAATCAATGGTTATCCTTTGCGTACATATATATATATATATATGTGTGTGTGTGTGTGTGTACATATATATTATATATATTGTGGTACCGGAGCTTGAACTCAGGGCCTACACCTTGAGTCACTCCACCAGCCCTTTTTTGGGTGATGGGGCCTGCGCTGACTTTGAACCGCGATCCTCCTGGTCTCTGCCACATGATGACAAGTGTGAGCCACAGGCTTCCGGCTTATATTTTCTATTGTATTAGCACATGATAAAAGCGAGAGCACACAAGGGAGGGGTGAGGATAGGTAAGACACCTAAAAAATTAGCTAGCATTTGTTGCCCTTAACGCAGAGAAACTAAAGCAGATACCTTAAAAGCAACTGAGGCCAATAGGAAAGGGGACCAGGATCTAGAGAAAAGGTTAGATCAAAAAGAATTAACCTAGAAGGCAACACACACGTACAGGAAATTAATATGAGTCAACTCCCTGTATAGCTATCCTTATCTCAACCAGGAACACTTGTTCCTTCCTATTATTGCCTATACGCTCTCTTCAACAAAATTAGAGATAAGGGCAAAATAGCTTATGCTGGGTATTGAGGGGGTTGGGGGGAGAGGGAGGGGGTGGAGTGGGTGGTAAGGGAGGGGGTGGGGGCAGGGGGGAGAAATGACCCAACCCTTGTATGCACATATGAATAATAAAACAATAAAAAAGCAAAAAAATAAAAATAAAAGAAAAATCCTGAAAAATAAAATAAAATAAAGAGTTCATCTTTTGCATAATATATAAGGCCCCTGTATTTCAAGGTGAAAGGAAACATTTTTCTTGGAATTTTTTTGAGAAATTTCTCAGTTTCTAATTTTTTTTTAGGTCACCTTTAAATAAGATTTGTTTTCAGGAACCTGGAGAGACGTGCCTACAGCTCCTTCACTCTAAAAGAAATGATCTAATAAATTTTAATCTAGAAGAGGAGATCATAGAGTTGGGTTTGTCAAATGATAGGTGACTGGGTCCAAACCCAGGGCAGAAAAGCCAACACCAGGTGCTTCTAGCCATTTGTGGCTGGGTTCTTCTTTGCAAAGAGATGGGAATGAAGATACTACATTACTTAGGATTAAAGCTGCTCTCTCTTTTTTATTCCTGAAAATTTAAGTATTTTTGATTTATTAACAGTTTGCTAAGTGGAGACTGGACAGGTGAAAGCATGGCTGTGTGTGTGTAATTAAAAGGCTTTTCAACTACAAGACTACTTTAAAGGCCTTTCATTTTGGAAATTATATTAACAGAGTGATAAACCTGTGATTTCTTTATCTGCTACCACTTAGCATTGCCACCTTGTCCTACGAATTTATTTACGATAAGGTTTTAGATGGGTGTTTGCAAAGTTTGGAGTCACAAGTATAGTTTTACTCTTTACCCTAAAAAATATTTGATCTCTGGCTTCAGTTTACTTAAAAGGCTGGCTGGAATTTCCAGACTAGCGAGATAAAGGAAATTTATCATAGTTTAAGAAATTATATACATTTTCTCATATGCCCTTTCAGAAACAGAATATTTTACATATGAATGATTTTAGAAAGATTTTGAAGCTGGGGTTTGTCCTTGTGATTAAGAAGATAGTACATATGTATGTACTGTATTTGCAATTCTGAACTTGCAATTTCCTATACATTAATTAAATAGGTATTTTGTGATGTGGTTTATTCAAAAAGTAAAAATATACCAACAAAAAATTCACATTTTGGTGAGTTGGTTGATTTATATTTCATTTACATTGACTATTTGCAAACCTTTTTAAAGGTCCACCATTCTCAAAGGTGAGCATAGGTAGCTAAATTAATAAAGTTGGAATTGTTTTGTAATCTGATGGACAATTTTATCACCTGGTGTTAAATGGGAGTAAAACAATTTGCAAGACTGATGTACACTATCAGTATTCACTCAGTTATTGACTTAGTTAACAGACCTTTACTGAACATTTAACACTATTGAGTCCTTGAAGTTTCCTAGGAAACTGTGGAGAGAAGAAAGATCTGATACTTGTCTTGTAAGAATTTCCAACATAGTGGCAGGAGAAAAAGGAAGCAACTTCTGAGGAAGGGCTTCAAATTTGGAAGGGAACATGTGAGAGAAAACTTTTATTTATTTATTTATTTATTATTTATTTATTTTTATTCATATGTGCGTACAATGTTTGGGTCATTTCTCCCCTCTCCCTCCCCTCCCTCTCCCCTCCCTTACCCCCCCCACCTGGCAGAAACTATTTTGCCCTTATGAGAGAAAACTTTTAGAGGAAGTCTCCGCAGAACTGAGTCTCAAAGGATGAAACTATAGTAGCTGGGGAGTGAAGCATAACACTTGAAATGAGCATTTCATAGACACCATTTCTACACAGTGTTTGCAGTCAGCAAGGTGGGGGGCAGGGAGCAGAAAAGTAATTGTCCTAAGGCTACACATCTGTTAGAGTGATGAAGCTTCATCCTAAACTGGATGATTCCACAACCTTGCTCTTAGCCATTAAGTTCAACAGTCTCCCTCTTCCTGAGCCTGGCTGCCACGCTAGACTCACCTGGCTATCTGTAGATGCAAGTAAGAAGGAAAAACAAATATGCCATTTTCATTCAATGGAAGGTAGTAAAGTAGATCTGAGTCAAGACTGACGGTTGGATCAGCTAACTTGGTTGCCACATCCAGATAAGAGGTAGTTGGAGAAATCTAAATGCAAGATGATATGGAATTTAATAAAATAGGTGGCAATAAGAATGAAATAGAAAAGGGAGTTGTTGCAAAGTTTGAATATATAGGATTGAATTTCATATAGCGTTCTTAACTAGAACCAATTGCCTACTCCCCAAGGAACATTTGACAGTGTCTGGAAATTTTGGGGGTTGGCACAACATGTGGAACAAGGGTGTTCCACTGGAATGTAGTAAACAGAGTTTAGGGATTCTTCTAGACATCCTACAATGCACAGGATAGCCATCACAACAAAGAATTATCTGACCCAAAATGTGAACGGGCTTGTTATGGGGGACAAAAGAGGAATGTAGAGTCATTGTCACTTCTCTGGTTTGATGACTAGGAGATGCTCTCTTACCAACATGGGGATTTGCAGGAAAAAGAGCAAGTTTTATATGAGAGGAGGGGAGGATGAACAAAAACATGGAGAGAAATACTCTGGTGGTTTATGAAATCTTTCAGAGAGAATATGGAATGAGAAGAGAAATGAAACAAGGAAAAAGCGTTAAAGTCTACCAACACTTAAGAGGACAGATGAAAAGAAAGAGTAGCTATGAAGATGACTGAAAACAAGCAGCCAGGATTTGAAGACTGCACCAAGTATGGTTTGAACAGTGATGAGACCAAGAGAACTTACAACGCTGGAAGTTCTCTGCTGATCTCTCTCCTCTCTTTGCCCTTCTGCCACAGGTTGACTCAAGAAGGCCCTGGCCAAATGCCAGCACTTTGATATTGGACTTCCCAGCCTCCAGCACTATGAAAAAAAAATTTCTTTTTTTTTAAAATAAATTACCCACTCTGTGTTGTTCTGTGGTACTAACACAAAAACCAAGTCAACAGTGCCAAAGGGAAGAAATTTTAGCGAAGAGGTAAAGAATGGGTATTTGCTCAGTAATTTCTTTTACAACTGAATGGACAGCTATAGCGTATATCCAGCCTTGCTTGTAGGCTGAGCTATAGCTTATGAAGGAAGGGTAGAAGTGATTTATTTATCCTTCAGTACTGTCCTCTACTAAAAATCCCACAGTGTTCTATACTGCTTATTCTTTTTTAAGTCTATTTTTAGTTTTTCTTTATTTTATTAACATGTAATAGTTGTACATTGTGATAGTTACATATGTGCTTACAATATACCTTAGATTCACCCCTCCATTGCTCTCCCTCTTCCCCCTCCTTCCCATCTTAGAACAATTTCAGAAGGTTTCTATTTTTCTATTTTCATATATAGATACAAAATAAACCCGCCACATTCATCCTCGTTCCCCCTTTTCCACCTCCCTATTTTTTTATTCACATGTGCGTACAATGTTTGGGTCATTTCTCCCCCCTCCCTCCACCCAGTCCCTACATTTTTTAAGTGTATATTGATAGTCCAAGGAGGTTTCGCCTTGGTACATCAGACCTGTATAAGTCATGTTTTAATCAAATTAACTCCCCTTCATTACTTACTCATTCTCTATCAACATGCTCCCCAATATTCAACAACTTACAGTACAGTGCACTATATCATATTCATATATAGATGGGTTATTTCAATATTTTTCATTCTCTAACATTTTCTTTACCTTTCCTGACTCCCTTAGTCCCCTCAGACAGACTCACTAATACAACTATGTTCTCTCTCACTATATATATGTATATAGATCATGCATGTATCTATGTACACATTTAAATTATAGGTCTGGCTTCCACATATGAGGGAAGACATTATTGACTTTTTGTACATTGCTAACTCTTAATTTGCCAGATACAGTGTTCCAGCTGAGGTCCTTAAGTTCCTTAGGGGATGGTGGAGCCAAGGATGGAAG